GGCTAGAGACTGAACAGGCAACAACAAAAAGATGTGTCTTTTGTAACTGGCATCTAAGCTTGACTACAAGCATAACATTTAGGGTGAGCCTGTGGGGGACCTGGAGGCTGGAGGGCTCTATCTGTGATGGACAAATGGGAGGCTGTGGTGGGTTCGTCTGCAGAAAACATGCAAGCTCCAGTTGTGGGAGGCTACATGGGGCTGGACACGTAGGTGGAGTAGGTGGTGGTTGTGGTGTTGGGGATTCAGCCTGTAAAAGCCTGGCTAGAGAGAGATGCGCTTGCGTAGTTCAGAGAACCAGAAGGAGTTGGCATTGATATTTGGGCTCATGTGGCTAAGTTAGAGGCACCAGAGGAACTGGCACTCTGGCCTGGCAGAAATTTAGGAGCTGGCAATTCAGCTGTAGATATGAGGGACTTGAGGCATTGCTGTTGCTCACACTGAGAGTGGGATTCCAGCATCAGCTAGAAGTGATTGAAGAGTACGTGTGTGTGCTCTTGTACTTATGTTTGATTGCACACCCACTGGAAAACAATGCACAAACGAAATGGGCCAACCATCAGATGGACTGTTTAGGGAGCACGCTGTTATGATTTCCCATTTGTGTAAGAAAAAAAAAAATTGCCTACAACTTTCTCTGTGACGTGAAAGGGTGAAGGTTGGTAGTCACATGAGATTTGTTGCCACGCTATCGCTACTCTGTTCAGTTGTGGAAGTGTTGATGCAGTTACAATGACAGTGTATTTTTATCAATGAACTACTGGGGTGACAGGTTGTTTCCCATGACTAAATATGGTTTCTTGAGCCCAGCAGTGGCCTCATGCAGCATGATATTCCAAGGAATGGGGCTTTTCCTGACAACTGTTTCCATTTTACATGTTTTTGCAAGTAGGTAGAGTTGCCTCTGATCTTGGAAAAGTTTAAATACCCGGAAATGCATATGGCACAAAAGCAAATAATAGCGGATGCTTTCAAAAAAGGGGGGTGGAAAATTTGGTAGATTTGGTAGTGCTGGTTTAATAGCTTTGGAAAACTGAACTTCTCTCTGTCATTGCTGACTAGATACAGGCATAGCAAGGCAGATGCACTGTTGCTTGCCATAGGGGAGCCATACAACGTCATAGGATGTTCAGTTTCTCCGTTGCCTGTGACGACTGTCTCTGCTGTTGCCTTGAACGTTAGCTATGGTGATACAAGGTTTATAAGGTGTATATTCACCTTATAGGGAGTCTTGAGAGGCACGTGGCAGTGGATTAATGTCAAATGGTTGATGCTGGTACTGTCCCCAGTCTTCCACTCTGAGGCAAGGACGTTGGACCTGTTCATGAATCAGCTCCTGAGTCACTGCAATTTTCAGTCCAGCTGATTAAGGTAACCTGATCTGCATTTGGTTTATTCTAATATAGTAGGCTGCAAAACTTCATGGGAGAGCGGTCCTGGTAGCTGGGGGGAGTAACAGCAACAGCTTTGACTAATTTTTTCATCCTGCTACTAGGTATCTATCCACAACCAATACTGGAGGCAAACTTCAAAAGCCGAATGTGTTTAGGCAAATCTGTTTTATTTCCTATAGCCATGTGTTGACACACAGGTTAACCATATGTCAGCTGAGAAAGCAATCGCCTGTGCTGAAGTTTGTTATTTCCTTTAGTAGTATGAGTTGGAGATACTCTCCTCAGCGTCCTGCAGATTGCTGTCGTAGTTGCGTTGACACTGCTGTTTGGGCTGGGCTCTGATCCAGACTTGGACTTTTGATCTACCTTGGTGCTTTTTGGAAAGAGGGGACACAGTGCTTTACTTTCAGAGTTTATTCAGCTTCCTCACCTGGTGCATGGCATGACCCCACAATGTGTTGTGACAGCTAGAGATAGCAGGCTGCAGCTTATGGGTCAGAACAAAAGTGTTTTCAGCGTTTGTTGAGAGAGATGGCTTTGACAGTAGTACTAAGTGAACATATTCTCAAACTGGTGTGAGACTGATGAGTGATAATTGTTTACAAGTGATAAAGTGGATCAACGAGATCAGGTGAGCCTGTGATCAAGCCCTTCTAGTATGCCAAGTACCAGTTGCGTGATGGACAGTGAGTATTGGTTGAATTTGAAGTTGCTGTCCATAGGGGGAATCTTCTAGGCTGTTGCTAATTTTCTCCACCTCGTGATAATTTATTAAATTAAGTTTTTGAGATGGTATTATCAAAATCAAATTTTAGTCAAGGCAAGAGTTGTATAGGTTAATTGAAATATTTTCACAAGTTGACTTTATTGCATGAAGACAACTGCAAAACCTTAAATGCATTTATCTGTAAACAGTACAGAAATTAGGTAATTGAGTTTATTGGCCAACCTTAGAAGGTTCAGGAAAGTAAAGGGGTATAAACAAAGGTAGTGGAGCAGAATTTTGTGCCCTGTGCTTTTGTTTTTCACTTTAGTATAATGTTAGTTACTTATGTGGGAATAAAAATCTTTATGTTCAGCTAAATGAAACTGTCGCTTTAAGGAAGACGCTATAATTTACACCCTTCCCTGAACTGTATTGAGTCCTATTTTTAGTGACTTCTAGGAGGCGAGGATTCAAGTTCAGTGACTGCTAACATAGCACAAATAATACGGTGCCCGGTCTTTTTTGATTTTTAAGTGTTTTCTGCAGTCAAGTAATTTAATAGGTAAAGCCCTGGGTAATTTGAAAGTTCTTGAAATAGCTCTTTTTTTTTTTTTTTTTTTTGAAACTACTTCAGAACAAATCTTGATCATCTTAAAGAAAATCAGTCCTCAGGCTTTCATCTGTTACTCATCATGTGATGATCAGATGAGAATGACCAACTTCCTTTGAAACCTTTTGCGTTTATCATCATTTATGTTTCTTAGAATATATTGTACAAAATGTATTTCATCACAGTATGAATATACGCTATTTTGGAATTTGTCTTCCCTACATATCAAGAGGTTCCTTATATAATGATAACCTGCTCTAATTTAAATAAATATTATTACTTCATTATCTTAGTAATTGCACTTGCAACTGGGGCTGGTCCCTGGGATCTTTTGTGAAGGTGACCTCTAAGATAATCTTTACAGGCTGAAAGTTAATACACAGTGAAGAAGGAGTAATGCTTTCTGTTTTAGCAATCTGTGCGTTGTTTGTTTTTTCTAGTCAAGTTTTTCTTGCTTTTGGTGCTCCCAAAGTGTTGCCAGTTCGTTTTCTTATTAACAGTCTTTTAAAATTAAGAGACAAAATACTTATTTTTATAGTTCTGTTTAAAGGGCCAAGCTTGTTCTCTTTTTGTTTATTACCTTTAACAAAGCCACATGCAGTTTCTGATGAAGAACAGCCAATGGTATCTGTTTCAGGTATGACCTTCTAATAGCTGTAAACAGAGGTTTTCCCTGTGTACAATGTCTTTTCAGGTACATGGTTTGTGTACTTAAGTGTGTAAGGTATAGAGTCATCACAAGTTGTAATGGGACATACAGGATTACAGCAGAGGGTTTATGCTCTGCTGCTTAGATAAGCATATGGTATAAGATGAACAGTTTCAGGGGAGTTGTTTCTATTGCAGGTACAGCATAGTTTTATCCAATCTATAAGGTAAGCTGAATTTTTAATGTGGTCTCCAAAGAATGCTGAAGCATTAGAGATGTTCAGGTCTTTTGTAAATTTTGAAGAGAACAATTAAAATGAAGATTCATTGTGTAAAGAAAAATAATTTTTTTTTTTTGATTCGTTCTCTTGACCTTGATTTACTGAGTGCATGCATGTGTATATCCCTGGGGAAAAAGACGCGTGTTCTTAGTCCCCCTTCAGAATTTTCTAATTGTTTTCAAACACAGCTTTTACAGTGACACCAGGTCCTGAAAACATATCTGGGGATGATTAACTGTGGTAAAATTGTGTATATGTCCAGAGTATGGCCAGCAGTTACACATTTTGAGGAATCCTACTCTCTAGGTTTGGAGTAACATGGTTACTCTTCAAAACTACTGGCCAAAGAGCTCAATTAAAAATCTCTGCGTGTGTTTTGTAGCTAGCCTAGTTCAAGCCAGGCGATGTCAGATTGCTATACTCTCTGCCCTGGAAAGAAAACAGTGATCCTACATGATGGATCTTTCTACTTCCTTGGAAGAGAATTTCAGAAGCATTGTTTTCCCTTGTGTACGAGCATGGAGATGTTAAAGCTTATAATTTAGTTCTTTCACTTGAATTGCTGGCATACTTCTGAAATTCATTACCCAAATAAATGTAGTCTATCTGCTAGTATAAAATGAATTTTTTTTTTGTTCAAAACTTTTTGCTCTTCTCAACAGTCAAAACTCAAACCTTCAGGCAGTACCAAGAAACTATTGGCTTTCATCTGGCCCTGGGAAGATTTAGTGTTAGTGTCAGTGTTGGTGCTTTATAATTGCAGCACCAGGATTTTTGGTGCTTTAATGTTGTTACCGTTGGTAGGAGTGAACTAATTCTACTTGTGGCAGAAAGCTTTTTACAGATATCTGTGGAGTGTGCACTGCAGTGTTACCTTACTCGTATGTCTTGAAAGTAGCAAACAATTAGCCTGAGCAATGAGTAGGTTGGCTGTATAACAGAAAAGAGTTATATTTTATCATATGAGTGGTACTTTTAACAGCATTACTGCTGCTTGGTTCCTCATTGTCTTTGAGTGTCAAAGCAGAAGCTCAATTTTATGCTTTTGCATCTCAAACACAGGTTTTTGCATTGAACCTCAGCAGAAGACAGCATGTGCATTTCAGAATTTACTTTGATGTTCATGTGGCTGGGTGCACTTCAGTGCCATGCACCTCTTTTTCTGCTGATATGTTCATCTTAATAAAATTTTGTATGCATGAGAGGCTGGGGGGAACTGCAAATATATACCAGAAATGCTCACTGTTTTCAAAAAGAGCTGCTAAGGCAAGGATGCCTTTTGGAAGTCCTGTTGCAGGAGGCAAGAGAAGGGTCCCTTTTGACTATATAATCTGTGTGTTCTGCATGTCTTTTATCTACAGGAGTGTCTACAAAAGGAAATTTAAGAAGAAGGTATTTGCCAAAATATCAAAAAAGTGAAACTGAGCTAAAGGTGCCTGTATCTGTGGCTTCTGTTTCCATGGATCCTGTTAGAAGCACAGGAGATCTGACAGGGCAGCAGGTAAGTAAAGGCAAATTTTTCTTGCTCTTAAGAGTGCAGATAATAGAAAAATGGCAGAAAATCTTTAGATTGGAAACTTTTAAACAGTTTTGGAGTACTATTATTTTGCAATCTCTTACACTTTTTGCCCACTTACTTTGCCCCATGGTGGCTTGCTGGCAGAATTTACTTTTCTACTGAGATCGCTTGCCCACCTAAAGACAAGAAAGGCTGAATGTGCTCATTTATGTAAGTGGTATGTAACTGGGGCTATGTAAAACAGATTATATATATTTCTATGTGTGTGTACAGGGAGAAAGTGAGTGTAGCTTTGAGTAGCCCCTAATCTGTATGTTGTTAGCCAAACATACAAGAAGTTGTGTTTCAGTCTATTCAGTTTCATTGCTCTAGTCATATCACTTAGAAACAAGACTTGTAAAATTATTTTCAGAGACCTTTTTGTTGTGGCTGCTCATGTTAGTAGGGCAAAATCACTTTCTGTTTTTGACAGTAAAATTTACAAATGCATCTGAGTAGTAGGAGTAGCTTTGTCAGTTGACATTATCTTTGGCTCTGCTTTGAATTGTCTGGTCTACTCCTGTGACAAGAGGTGACACTTTTCATACAGTTTATTGCATTAGAAATTTCAAAGCAGTGGGTTTTCCTTTGGAAAGATTGGAAGATTATTCTGTATTCTGATAGGTCTTGTGATATTTAGAAATCTGTTGAGAGGTGCCATTTTTCTAACATGATTTGTATAGTACAGTGACTATGTAAGTCATTTGAGTACTGTTAAGTCTCTTGCCCAGTAGTCGTCTTTGGGCAAGTCTGTAAGTCACTAGGGTTTGGTATCTTCCCACTTACAGGGAGGATCTAAAACTTTTGACTGCTTCTGCATCACTGTTGTATTGTCACGCAGTTAAATCTTGTTCTTTGTCTGGGCTAAGATGTCCTCTGTGTCTTCTGTGTGCTGAGTAAATGCTGTGTGCCTCACACGTACGTTCAAAACTCTGATGTGAAGACAGATCACTCAGCTCTCATTGCTTTGACAGTGTCATTGCCCTTCAAATCCTTCAGCATGACACTCATAACTAGTATTCATTTTTAGGGCCCATCCTGGTCTTGTCCCTTTCCATTTCTCTATTTATCAGTACCTGCTTTTAGGAGGCTGGTATGTACCTCCACTTTGCAAATGATGCTGTTCAGTGACATGCAGAGACATTTCATAAATAGCCCCTGTTACGCAGAATCTTTATGTAGAAGCATCTTTTCATAAGTATCTACGAGCCTGCTGCCTCATAGGTGCCTTCATATGTCACTTTAAAATCTGTTTAGTTGTATTATGTGTTGTTTGCATTACTTTGCATTGTGTAGGGATTTTTTACTCCTTTTTCCCTGTGAGAGCTGTTGGGGTAGAAATGCGCTTTGTTCTTTTCATACAATGCCTAATACACCAAATCTTGATTTGAGACTCAAATGTGCTTTTATAATATTGACAATAAAATGGGTTCAAAGCTTTTTCTCTTTTCTGTCTTTTTTAACTTTCTGTTTTTCTCTTACCTTGCCAAATCCTCATGGAAACTTTGTGCTCTAACTTTGAAGATAAGCTCTGAATTACTTGAAACAAACAAATACATTTTACTTGTTATGGAAGAGGAAGGTTTCACAAAGCTTTTTTGCAAGGAGTTTTCATCAGCAGCAAAACTCATTTTCTTCACATGTGTATGTGTCTAGGGAGAGCTGATTGCTTTACTTTAACATACTTTACACTGTTGTACTGGTAGGTAGATCACCATTACGATTTACCAGAATCCTCTTTTGAAGAGAATGGATTGAGTTTTGCTCTCATATGAATCTCGGCAGAACTGATTTACCTTTTCTTCATTCAGATAGATTTGAGTACCACAAAGGAGGATGAGCGTTTTGAAAAAGACTTCAAAAAGGTCTTGCTAGCTCTGGAGCTTTTCTGGTACTTTTAATAAATCAGTAGTTTGCTGCACTGGTCTTGACCAAAATTTCCCATCTTCCTACTTAACCGTTTGACAGAAATTTCTGCAAAACTGCTTCTCTCATGCAGATTGTCATCTTCCAAAGTGTGGTTTATAAAGTGAGAAAATCTTCCATTTATGTAGTACATTTTGTCCAGAAGATACTGAGTTACGAAACCTACTTTGAACTGTGTAGAAAGGACAGAAATCTGGAAAAAGGAGACTATACAGCCTTGGCCTATATTTCATTTATCATCTTGTTTTGATGGTGGAGCTGTTGCTGTGTATAATTCCACAGTTTCATTTTGACATGTGTTATGGTAGAAGCCTGCCTTTGAGAATTTTTTGTGTGCCATCTATCCATACCTGTGAGTGATACAAAAAAGCACAGACTAACTTTTCAGATTTTCCTCTTCATCCCGCAAATGTTTGTCTAACGGTATGTACATAGGTTTGGGTAATAACTTGAGGTACCTTCTGTTAAAATCTCCTTCACTAATGTGATCAAGCTTCTGCCTCTTTTTTGAGTGAAAAATGTTCTGTAACTTTTTATTTTTCTTAAAGAAGTTCCATCATCTAGCTGCTTTAAAAAAAAATAATTTTCAGAGTTCTTAGTATGGGAAATGGAAATCCTTCAACCATATGTTTAGTTGAAGTTAAATTCAGTTAAGTTAAAGACATTTTCTCTTCATTTGTATGGCTGTAAATAGCATATGTTTGGGAAGGAAACTGTGAAATCAAATGTCCCCTTGAAAAGCCCTGAAGTCTAATTTGCCTTGTAAAACTCCTTTTTTTTTTTTTTTTTTTTTTTTTCTGAGGAAAATACGTTGAAGTTAAAATAAGAGTGTACTGAAGGGTCAGGTGGGTATAACATGAGTCTGTATAAAATCATCACCTCTTAAAGCGACATAGTCCTTTAATTGTTTCAAACCACTGTTCAAGAAGCAATTAGCTAAGAATGGAAGGGGGCACTTCCTCTCTGATGTGTGTGGGTCTGCTGCGATTACTGCTAATGAGGGGAGAGAAGCTCAGTGTTTGCTTTGTATGCTCCGAGGTTGTTCTGTGTGGTATTGTATTAACTTGGCCAAACTGCAAGGCATTTGGTAGCATTCTTGTATCTCATGTTAAGCACTGTATGCGCTCAGGGAAGTTTGTAATATATGTAGGCTTGTAAAAGTCTAAACTGAAAATAAGTAAGTCCGATTAAGTGGAAATATTTAAACTTGCCAAAGTCTTGGACAGAATAGCAGGACTCTTACTGCTGCTTTCATCTTGGGATTCCTATTTTCTGCTTATTGCTAGCACTGGAGAACTGAGTCACCGATGACAGAAGTTTTTGATAAATAAAAACAGTTTAGAACTTAGAACTGTTTCCTGCTTGGAAACACCCAAAACAGGTAATGCCAGTAACCTCAATAATACAAGGGACTGTTGCAAACACAAACAGCAATATGCCCTCTGGTGGACATTGATAACAAATACTGCAGTTCTCAGTGTGTTAAAGGAATGCATTAAAATAACTGAATTACTGGAGTATGTTAAAGGTTTGTTTTGAGAAGGAGTAGTAAGTACGAAGGTAGCAAATAAGTGGTTAAAAACAAATGGTAGTGACATGTGAAGGGGTGTGTACTTTTCTGTGGATTAAAAAGATCCTTTGAAACAAGGACTTACCATCTACTAAAGATATATTGCATACCTTTTTTGCTGTTTTGTATGCTTTGGTCATAAACACTAAGGTGGAATGGTTTTTTCTTAGTCTTTATTTTAGGATCCTAATATAATAAAGTTTGAACTTAGATTTGGATATCGCTGCACTAGATTTCCAAGTCATGAGAACCTACTGCCCTTTATCTAGTATGAATCAGTGAATAGTGTATGTCTTAAAACTTTACCCAGCATGTTTAGTATTGAAACTAGCAGCTTGCATTTGAATTACAAGTCTCTTAAAAGAATTCTCCACAACTTGGTAATTTGTTTTACTGAACTGTAGTTATATTTTGAAAAATATGTATTTTATTTCCGGTTGGAATTTGTCTACTTTCAACTTCTAATGATTAGAAAACATGTTGAAATGCTTTTAATATCTTATGAAATATTTGTTCTCCTTTAAAGAGTACTTTCTAAAATGTTACTTTAAATTTTCAGGTCACTAATGACGGAGGAATGAAGAGTGCTTCTTTAAAGGATTTGTGTCCTGAGGACAAGAGACGCATTGCAAACTTAATTAAAGAACTTGCCAGGTAAGAATAAGCATCTCCTGAAAATGTATTACGTTTAAGGAGAGTCATTCCTCTAATTAACATCAAGCAATGTAGAACTGCATTATGGAACTGAATATTTGTATAAGGTGATTTTTCTTCCTGGAAGAGGTACGGACAATGAAGCAGCCTGATCATTTTTTCCTTGCTTCCTGACCCAAAATCCCCTAAATGTATTGAAAACAAAAGCCAAAGTTTTGTGACCTGCAGCAGTTCATCCATATGAACCTAGTCGCAGGGCTAGGGTTTTGTTTGCTGCTTGTATCATATGCTTTAAATAAACACATGTTGTCTTTTGGAAATGACAAACTTTGTTGACATGAAACTTTGTAGTGCTTATTTGGCAGGAGTAAGCTTTTATGTGGAATGCCACGTTAAAGGTGGATTGGTGATCTTGTGGCTGAAACATGTTAATCAGTATTTGCCCGTGTTTGCACATGCAGAGCAATAAAGAGTCCAGTAAAATTTTAACTTATCTAGCCAAACTTTCTTTCGCTTTGATTAATTTCTTCAAGTTCTCCCTATTCTTTGGAAGGAGAGGCAGAAATAGTGCAAGTTTCTCAGCTTTAGCAAAAGTTTTTTTCTAAATTTCATTTCAATGCTAGTTGCATTCACGAAGATAAATAATGTGAAAAATAGGTTGAATTTGAGCGAGGAGATTTTTCTCCCCCTCTGTGTCCATAACACTTCAGAATCTCTGGAAATCTGCTTACATAGTGGCTATAAAATTGAGAAGGAGCACATGGGACTTGGTCAGGCTTTCGCACAATGTCAGAAGGGAAAGTCTTGTGAGATGATCTCAGGTCCTTTGGGCTAAAAGTTGCTGTCCACACTAAGAATTTATAAAGGCAAAGTTTTTCTAGAACAAAATGCAAATTCTCAGCTATTAATGAAATGCTTTTTGCCATAGATTTCATATGCCTGTGCAATAATTGGCAAACATTACTGTCCTTTTTCTTTTTATATAGGAAAATTTGGGCAGAGAAATTAAGTTACTTGCTCAAGGTCATGCAATAAGTCTCTGGTGCAGCTAGGAATATTTTCTCTCTGATTATCCTCATCCAGTGAACCATTTTGCCTGCTAATAATTTGTACCAATATAGAATTTCTTGCTATACAGTATTTCAGTAATTTCTGAAGTTCTTCATGCTTGCAACTCTATTTTATCCTACCTCGTGTGTTAGAAAATGTCTGGTTAAGGGTGTCATAAAGAGTAGATTGCTGGGAAGCGTGGTTACAAATTGTCAGATGTTGGAGCTATTCGGACACTGTTGCCACTGTTGATATATAGAGGTATATTCTAATATTAAAAAAAGCCTTTTATTACATTGTTCCTCATAATACACTGCTCCCTAGTGAATAGTAGTACACTAACTCATTTGAGCATGGGATTCTTCTTAAATCTCAGATGCTGTGATTTTTCCCTGAGGACAGTTTGATATTTCTGCCTGACATTTCTTTGAAGAAAAATAGAAGGTGCAGCAACATTAATTTTGAAAAGTAAAATTAGTGGAACACTATTATTTTATACTTAGTTCTCTTTTATTTTTAAACCTAATCATTTTTTTATTGGATGTAATTAAAAGTCCTTTGCAAGTAATAGGGAAGTTGAACTTTAATTCCGCTCACCTCGTCACTTTTTTAAAACTCTCCATAATTTTCATCCCTAGTTGTGCAATGACGGAGGGTTTTTACATGCAGTAGAACATTCTTTGCTATTTCAGAGAAGAAAAAGAACCAGTAGAATGCTGAAAGTTTTCCAGGAAGACTGTTCTGCAGTAAATAATTGGAATAATAAAGATCTCCCTTGACCAGAGCTATGCTTCACTGTTCTTCATTTTGCTACTATTTATGAATGAAAATGATGGTAGTTGGGACTAATTCTTGCATGCTTATTGTGGGATGGTGGACAGAAATAGACTGGCCCATAACCATCTGCGTGAAGACAATTTTAAAGCGGTAAAATTCTGTCTGTGTGGAAACCAGTAGCAAAATATGACTAACTCCTGGGGCTGGAATTTCAACCAAGTCTTGCTTGAGCAGTTCAGGATATTGGTCTTTCCCCGACTTTTGCGACTGCTGAAGGAGAGCTAACGTACTTTTCTTTCTGTTCCTATTCTTAATTCTTTTCCTCCAACTCTCATTCCCAATGCACTTTTGAACATTGGGAAGGTGCGTGCCTATGCATTAGCTAATACGCTGCAGGGAGAGACTTTGTCTTGGTGTAAGTAAATTCTAATGCTGGCTATATTATTTTCCTTTCCTTTGAGAAAATCAGTTACTGGGCTGAAATGCTCTGCTGCTGGGGATTCCAGTGGCTGACATCAGGTTAGCTGTTCGAGACTTTATGAAATTGAATTTTAAGGCAGGGTCGAAAGAAAGGACTCAGCTGTATCCTTTCTAATCCTCCTTTCTCGGGTAAATAGTCTTAGTTTTTGCTCTATGCTGCCACCTGTAAATCTAGCCATTATTTTGCCTTTCTTTGAACATATCTAGTCTGTCTTCCTTCTTCAGGTGAGAAGAGAGAGGCAAACTGGATCCAAAGTTTAAAAGACTCAAATGTTGTAAATGTTGTGGGTTTTTTATTGTGTCAGCAGATTCTTTTCAAATTGTTTTTGTAGGGGAATTTCTGAGTAGAATGAGTCCTGCCTATGAATGCCAAAGTGCTTTGTGAGTAAATGGGAAATTCTTGAGTGTGATCAGCTGTTATATTCAAAAACAACCAGCATGGCACCTTTGTGTTTTCAGCAAGGTGCTGCTGGCATGGTGGTGAAAGTGGCAGACACAGTAAGAGCAAATTTTATCTCTCCCTACAAGCAGAGTCTTTTTAAGAGGCAAAAAAGACTTCCTCTGACTTTTTTATTACTGGAGGCTACTCCTGAAGCAGTCATCAGCTTATGTAATGAAATGAGCAGTGACATGGTGAAGACACTGAAAGATTCCTACCCTCATACTCTGCGCCAATGTCAGGACACATTAGCCTCTTCCAAGAGGGAGCAGCGCAAGGTCCCCTGGGACCTAGCCAGTTGACTGTTGAGCATTAAGGATTTGCTAAACACCATACTGAGAATGGTTACAAAGTATTCTGGAGTGAAATATTTTAACTGATATGCAGATTTTGAAAGCGCTCTCTGTCTTGGCATTTGGCTGAATGGAGAAGGTCATAGCTTTCTTTGCAGAGAGAGTGAGTGTGTGCTTGCAAGCATTCATCTCACTCCTAACTGATGTAGTACAGTGACTTTCTGGCTCTTGCTATGATTCTACTTCATAAATACTTCTTCCCTGCCTGCACAGTTCACATATGCCTGTACAGCTCACATATGTAATTTGCTTTTGAATGAACAGAGGCATTGACTAAGTGAGGTAGAATGGTTCATGAAAGTTTAATTTTTGCATTTAATGGTGAGAATTGCTATCTAACTACTTTGTACTCGTTCTTTCTTCAAATAAGATAACAGGGAGACAGCTTTCTCCATGTTTGTCTTTGCAAAGAAATCTTTGAAAATGATTTAGGTAGAAAGGTATCATAATGCCCTTATCCACCCAAGGGAGGGAGCGATTGCCTTTTTCAAATGAGATACAAGATGGTTTTTGCTATCAGATTAGTGTCTTTCTGGCAAAGACCATTGACATGCCCAGAATGACTTGTACCCAGCAGGTAGTAAAACAGTCTTCAGACAGCCCTTTGTTCCTTATTGAGAAAATGCTTCCTCCTTCCCAAGACCTTGGATTTCTAAATCCTTTGTAGGGTGCTGGCAGTCTGGGTGCTAGTCTTTTCTACCGGCATTGCTTTATGGGGACTTTTTATCCTGATATAAAGATGAAATTGACCAACTAAAATTGAAATTTTTCCAACAAAAGGTGAAAATGGGAATCAAAACAGAAGGTTAATTTGGTTACAGAACTGGAAACCATTACAAAGGAGGACAGTAAAACTACTGTAGCGTATATCTGCTGTTTAAGTGTTTTTCTTCCAGCACTTAGGATCTTTGAAGGACAACTTGCCTGTGGAAGCCCATATTACAAATCTGCAGTGTTTAGCCTCTTGGGTTGCCTTCTCTCCTGGGTTACACTACCTCATATTTAACCAAACTGTTACCTGGCTTTAACTTCAATGTCAAGATCTTTTCTTTTTTTTTTGTGTGCTACTTTAGGAGACAATGTTGTGCTGCAGTTCTCTTAATTGGTCAGGCAGTGAGATTGCAAATGAGATATCCCTAAGCTTGTCTGGAAATTACTTCTTGTTGATAGGTGAAGCATGCCTAGGATTATTGTATCACCAATCACACTTACCTTTTGTGCTTAAAAAGACATTTGTAGCTATAAATTCATGCTGTGAGATCTAGTTTTGTATTATTTTGCAAGTTGCATATAATAAAATTTATCCATTGTGTAGCAATTTCAATTATGTTTTGGGATCGTTGGGGTTTTTTGTTAATTTTTTTAATTTGTACAGACTGCCCACGATATTGAATAAAATGTATCAGATTTGTGAACAATGTCCTTAGACAAAAAATGCTGCCATTCTCTCTTCCTGCAGTGCTGGTATTAAAAGTCATTTTGTTGCTCAGTTCTGCCAGAGGCATGTTGTGATCAACTCTGGCATGAAAACTTCTTGTTTCATCTTTTTGGAGTGCATCTTTCACTTGGAATACCTGATTTCATTCCATGGATCCTGCGTGTGCTGGGCTCTGCATGATGCTCTTGTCTTGCTCCTTGCTCCATTTTTCCTCCCCCTGTGGTCTTGCTGTTCCAGATGCCATTCTTTGCTTGGAATGTAAAACCTGTGGTTTTCGAGAATGATCACCAAAATATTTTCATATTTGCTAGCTAGTTGGCAGACTAACATTAATCAGGTGAGTGTTCCCTAAAAGATAAATGTTCCCAATGAGCATAGGACTGATCAGTGAAGTTTCCAGTGTCTGTGCCCCTGCTTTTTGATTGTTTTGTCTTCTGTGTTAACTTGCTCAGCCACAGTTCTTAATGCATTCAGATTTCTTTTGGCAAAAGCTCAATTTTTTCTAACATTTTTAAAAAACAGAAAACACTATTTTTAATTTGCTTTTTCAGCTCTTTTCTTCTGTAAAGACTGTAAGTGCCTTCAGTCAGGAAGAGTTCTTTTGAGTTTTGTCCCTAGTGTAGTGTTGATTTGAGTATTATGGCTCGCTCTTGTGCATGCCAGTTTTTCATTAGACAAATAAAACTTGAAGTGCTGTTGACCTGTGCAGTGCTTCAGAAATTCCACCTGGAGAGCATCAATCCTGCTTACTCAGTGGAATGAGTCAGTGTCATCAGCAATCTTGTTGATCAATTCCTTCTTCAGATCAGACAGTCAGAACTACTAGTATCAGCAGTGGACTTGGGAGCACACCATAGTAATTGGAACTGGTGAATTAGGAATTAATTTGAACCCTAAGGCTGATGTCCTAGGAGGTTTTTTGTCAATATATCTGCATTATGAATTTTTCTTTTCCTACAGAGGCTTCTATAAAATACAATTAAAATCTTTATTTAGATGCATCTAGAATTACATAAACTTTGAAGTGTTGAATTTAAAACAAGTCTTGAACAAATATGGTGTGTATCCTATGACACCAGATAGGTGAATGTAAATTGCATGCAAGGAAATGTTGCACACACTGAACAGCACAATCCTCTATTTGTTCCTGGAAACAATGATAAGGGAGCTGGACACCAGTGTGTTGCCCAATCAGCTGTCAATCCTCTATTTGTTCCTGGAAACAATGATAAGGGAGCTGGACACCAGTGTGTTGCCCAACGGAGCAGTTGTGCCCTTTCTAGTTGCGGTGCCTTCATTCTTTCACTGCTCTTTTCTGACCACGAGTGGATGAAAAGCAGGTGAAAATCCTTTTGAGGAGCATTATAAGCCTTGTAATGTTTCCGTTCGGCATCAGTGAAGTCCTTCCTAATTCTGCTAAAAATCATCTGTTCTTTACTGCCAGAAGGCAAAGAAAGAAGTATATAAAAAAACCTCACTGAGCTGTGTATAGGATGTGACATAAACCCAGCATAATCTGATGACATTCTTGTATTCCTTTTCTCTAACTTCCTTTTGCCACCTCCTGTGAGTAACTCTCTTCTGTATCTCGCCTGCCCTTTATGGGCTGTCTCCTGCTTTGTGATACATAAACATACTGCCACATTTCTTCTAAGATCACTTACTGTTCTCAGTCATTTACTGCATAAGATATGTGGCACAATATATTCATGTGTCTGAGAGTATGACAGCTTGCTGTGATCTGTGTTAAATACAAACACAGCACGTGAATGTGATGCAGGCTGATACAAGCAGTAAATCACAGAATCTAGAGATGGGTAAAACCTGCTAGGTTTAGTCTAATTTCTCTAGTGCTCTGGTCTTTCTTACCTTATTTTCTTATACTGTTGTTTGATTTTAATATTCTTAGGTGCCAGCATGGCCCAGTGTTTCAGTTGTCCCGAACCTTTTTCAAATGCAGCATCACTCCTGCAGTTAGTAAGCAAGCTTCTGTCTTTATATAGTGCCCTGGAGATGATACTTGTCCTGTCTTTCCCTTCTGATCTTTTTTTCCCCTCCTATTCTTGTTTCCTTCCTGTCTTTCATCTACATGGTTATTGCTGTCTTCATTGTCTTTTTCTAATTGATGGTTTTTATTCTCTGTTCTCTACTTTTTTTTTTTTTACCCTAAGAAACAGGAAGCATTCTTGCATCTTCCACTGATTACGTGAAAGAAGGTCATATATGGATTACATGAAGGAAGGTCATATATGCTGTAGTCACTTATCTGATTGCTCTAGATTTAGAGAAGACAAACTGGTTGTGCTTAGATGCAAGAGCCTGGGTCTGCAGCCTGCGGCATATATACTGTAGTTGTAACTGCATCGGGGAGCAAGGATGTATGGTAGATAGTTTTCAAAAGTTTGTTGCCTGCTTAACTAAGGAGTACATAGGTGTTGCGATGGATCCAGAGTTAATACAGCTTGTTCCCTTTTCATTCTTTATTTTCTGATGTGTGCACACCCCTTTTGACAGCCTTTGAGTGGAGGGAAAGGGGCCTGGGAATGAGTTGATGAACACTGCCAAGGACAGGATTACAAATTAGACCATAGGCATATGAATAGTGGAATGTTTTTATGCATGTCTTTTTTGTGTAATTTAGAAACTTTCCAGTTAATAGTTTGTTCCAAGCTTTCAAACTGCTCTAATCTACAGAATTTGATTATATGCTATATGTCATTTTTCTCCCTCCAGGTTTGTAGAGAAAAGGTGTGAGTTTCAATATTATTAATTATTTCCAACTTCTTGCAGTCTGCTCGAAGGGCTGTGGGTTGATCTTAGAGGTGAGGAATACTGCCTGTCTACAGTTCACCCCAGGGGGGTGACCCAATTGTGGTATTTAGGGTTTTTCCACTGGAATATCAAAACAAATCCATGCCCTCTCAAGGAAAATGTCATGATGTCAAATGGATGGCTCAGTCCCTGAATGGAGTTCTCTGTTAAGAATGTCAATGAGTCTAATGGGACGAGTGGAAGGCTTTATCCAATGCCTATATATAAAAAAAAAATACATATATTTTTCCCCCTTTCCTCTTCCTATAGGATTGTTCCACTTAAAGGCAGTTAAAATTGAAGTTTTCTGAAAGTTGTACTGCTTTCGTCTCCTGTCACCTGTGGCAGCTGTTTCATCATCGTAAAAGACTGAACTTTTAAGAGCCTTCAGCAACAGAAATTGCCTAAGTGCAGAGCAATAATATTTATTAGTCTAAGCTCATTACTTAATATTTTTGTAGAGCTTTTATAGAGCCATGATTTCTAAGCCATGTTTTTTAGCATAGTTACAGGCTCATCTGTGCATAATGGTCTTCTTGCCTACGTGATACCAGAATAATTGTTTTTACAGCCTGCTCTTGAGGTGCAGAATAAATGATCATTGTAAACCTTTCTCACGTTGTCATCTTTTAATCTTGATCCAATTATTTACACTGAGCAGCAAGATACAGTGTGCCATGGCCCAGACAGAAAGGAAAATTTACTCCTGCGGCTAGATATTTTAAAATCCCCAGAAGAGGACAAACTGTTTTGTTTGGAAAAAACTAACAAGAAAAATGGTTCCTTTCCTGGACTTATATTTGACCAGTAAATGTGAAAGAAGGATTAGTTTGTAGATTAAGAAACAGAAAAGTTTTTCAATTTCTTTCCTGTCTCGGCAGCTAAGCTCTCCCATTTGAGTTGTCTGTCTACATGCCCTAGGCTTATAAGGATCCCAGTGTGTCTTCATTATGGCTGTGGGGAATCAGACTGCACAAATCTAATTGTGGGTTCAGGTCCTTACATTGTTGTTCCATGCTGCCCATTAATGTGCATGTAAGACCAGTGTCTTTGGAAAAATAATGTATTGCATAAAGTCATATGCATCTTCCAGTGTAATACAATAAAATAAACATTATGAGGAACTAACCTCTTTAAGGGTGGAGAGGGTGATATCCATTTATCTGGAAAGCGGAGGAGTTGGAAGTCAGGCACTGTGGTTATGGGCATGTATTTTATTTCTCTCAAATTCTTTTCAGGGTAAGTGAAGAAAAGGAGGTGACAGAAGAACGGCTGAAAGCTGAACAGGAGTCATTTGAGAAGAAGATCAGACAGCTAGAGGAACAGAATGAACTTATCATCAAGGAAAGGGAAGATATCCTTTAAAAATATGTGCAGGGGCTCACTGTCTGAAATAAAAAGTGAACCACAGAGAAATAATTGTTCTAATTTATGGCAGAGAATAAATCTGCATGTGCTGCCATTCAAAAGCAATCAGAGAGATGACTTGTCAGCATGTGATGCTGGTTCATTTGAGCTTAAAACTGCCATCCAGCTGTTCCTATGATGTTGTTTTGCTATGAAATAGATATTTGTCAACTAAAAATGACAATAAGGAACTTATGCATTAAAATATGGTTATAGATTTATTTTTTTTACTTAATCCTGTTAGGTTGTAATTGCGGTCTAAAACTTGCATGGTATTCCAGTGGTCTCTGTGTCCAGAGAAAGACAACTTACACTGAAGGCATTTAAACTGTATATATGTACTAGGAGGTTTAGCCAGGTGAGACTTTTTCTGGTGTAGCTTTTGTTTGTTTGTTTTTTATATAAAGTTAGCTGATTCTCTTTTCTTGCAGGCTGTGACTTCCATTTTTGTTAAGCTGCATATGCTTAGTCCCAATCCTGGAATATCACATGCAAAGTCAATGTTGCAGGAATTACAAATTTTCTTCAGTGTGGTGTGATAGACCTTTACAAAATTCTCTTGTTCATTTCTCTTCCAAATCTTTGATATTGATGCTTTCTTCTTTAATTCCTCAGAAGGCTAACAGTTGACTACAGTAGGGTATGGAAGAGACAGTGCTGCAACTACAACAAAAGCAAATAGTATGTGATTCATCAGAAGCTATATTTCAAGTAGGGAGGATACTAATGCTATTTTAAAAAGCATTGATGAAACCTAGTGTGCAATACTGTTTTCAGTCCTGAGTCATCCCTTGTTCAAGTGAAAAATGAAGTTAGTGACAAAAGTTGTGGAGGAGGGCTACTTAAGATGCTGGGAGAAGCTATTTGTGGAGAAGGGCTACTTAATAGCTGGAGAAGCTATTTTCTGAGAAGAAACGGACGTGTGTGTGCGTATGCTTCTGAATAGTGACTGGCCATATAGAAGTAGGTCGAGATGGTGGTAAGGTGAATAGGGGGAGAGGCAATGCTGAGACAAAAAGGGACTCTTCAACCTATAGGCCAGTGTTGGAACAGAAATAAATGGAGATAAACAGTCCACAAACTTAAACATGAAGTTAGAGGAAGGTTCTTGAAAATTCGAGCAATCATATTTCACAGTTTAGCACTGGAAGGCTTAAAAAAAAAAGCTTTTTTATGATGGAGCTTCGTTGGCTTATGAAAGGAATTCGGTGATATGTTGTCTCTGTCAGCAGGGGATTGCCCTTGATGACCCAGAAGATCCCTTGTAGCACAGCAGCACTTTTATTGATAGAAAGAATTTGGTCTGTTTGTACTAAATAATATACACATCAACAAGCTTAGCCGGGCATGGAACAGTTCCTGGAAAATATTAAATCTGATGTATTTAAGTGCCATTAGATGTGACTACAACTCTTTTACGTTGATTTCACTGAAGTCAGTATTTTGTTGTATATTACGTCTTGTGTATTGAGTCAGCTCATGAATGTGGGTGGGATGTATGTTCCTGATTAATATTTTTTTAATTTATGCACATAGAGCTTTCACTAATTCATCTGAGGTTAGGTTTATTTGGCTACTGGGAAGCAGGCATGCTTGCTTGGGTTTTTTTGTGGCTTTTTTTTGTTATTTCCCCCCCTGCTTTACTAGAAATAGATTGCACGAGCATGAATACTTTTTCAGAAGTCTGGTAGACATAGCAGAAGGTTAATGCATGCCATTTTACACTTCATAAAACTCTGTAAAACCTAGAAATATAAAACAAGGTTATAATTTAAAACAATATAATTTTAACTACTGCAATACTTGCCTATCATACATGAATGATTCAAGATCCTCGACGTACCTCTGATCAGTTAATTTTTTTATCTTAAAGCTTGTTGCAGAGTCAAGAAATTGTAGAAATGACTTGCCAAAGTTGAATGCAGATTTTGGCTATTTTCAAGTTCAGCAAATTGGAATTCTTCAAGTTCTTCTGAAATGTACAGAGTTCACTTGCAAATAAGATATCAGGGGTATAATACCATAAGAAAAAACCTTCAAGTCTGGTAAAATCAATTTTACATACCTTTTTTTCCCCTCCCCCAAAGCTAATTTATTCTCCATAAAATTACTTTATCTAGCCCAGTATTTAAAATTACCCTACAATAATAAATCGGTGCTTCTGACATAACTGCAGCTATCCAGTGAAGTGTAATTTCAACCTGGTAAAGGTTTAATTTGAATAGCATGGGGAGTGTGTTTTTTTTTTTTAAAGCAACATGAGTTTTGTTGTTTGTTTTTTTTCTTGTTAAGACTCTTGCAGCAAAGATATGATTTGTGTGCTTGAAATCCCTACTTTAAAGGTGTATTTTCCTCATTTTGTTGTGGTTGATTTTTTTTTTTTTTGAGAAGCTATGTGGACCCATCCATTTGAATTCATTGCTGATGAACTATGACAAAAGCTTTGGGGTGTAGGGGAGTAGGTGGTATGCAGTGATCTCACTGCAAAACTTTGAGTAACTTACCAGTATTGAAAAAAACAGTACCTGTCTGCAGCCTAAACTTACATTTGCTTTGGAATTGGTCAGTGCTGTCTGGGTAGGGAACAACAACTAAAAAGTCACGCAAACTTAAAAGTCAATTCTATCCTTCCATTGCAGTTGAAACTTTGAAATTTGAGTAGTTCTTACTAGGGCATGCAGTTAACGGAGGACAACCCTGATGAGCACACTGTGAATAAATAGGCCAGCTTGTTGTCAGGGTTGCCAAATACTTATTATCACAGAATTAAGGAAAATTAGGGGTTTCAAGTAGTCATCTGGTCTACTCCTTTTCCCTAAAGCAGTATCGTTAGACCTGTCATATTGTCTTGTAATCTGGTCAAAAGTAGATATTTTGGCTTAGTTTTTCACAGGGCGTTCTGGCTTGAAACCGACTTCTTTCAAAAGAACCTTGACCTAAAGTGTTTCAACCAGCTCCAAAACCAAAAGAGGATCAAACCTTTATGTTGTCTATAATAAACTCTTGTAGCCTTTTTTCTAAAAAGTTCTAGTGCTGCTGTTCTTTGGAGATGTGATGCTTAGTGGTGTAACGTATGTGTGCTGTGATGACATATTTTGTTGTTCTTACTAAAATCCGCCCGGTTGGGCCAAAGTGGAAAATCCAGTAATGGGTGCTCCCATTCTTTTGATGCCCTCCACAATGAAAGCATCTTATAGCTGTATGGATGGGAAAGTGGTGGAAAGAATTAATCTTCTGAAAGGGAAGATTAAGCAGGAGGTAGAGGGGAAAACGTAAGCGGAGGCTGTTCTGGGAAAGCGAGAACTAGAATGTGGCTGGAAGGACAGACTTGGAAAAGGAGGTTGGGCTGGGCATGGCTAATGTGAAAGAAGTAAAGCCTGTGACTGAGGAGTTCAAAAGTGTTTGGGATAAGCAGTCAGGATTAAGGAAGAGCCAGGATGGAGGTAGGTGGCCTAGGATCAGTCAGATGATTGTGAGACAGCTGGTGAAAGTAGGGATGTGTCTGTTCAGTGTATTCTAGCACCCTCCAAACTTTGAAACAGAATTTGGGACTAAGCTGATGTAAGAAGGCTCACCATGTGTAACCTAGCTCTGTGTCTTCCTCAGCATCCGCTCTTAGTATTTGTCTTCTCTTTGCTTCTGTATTCCCAGATCATGATGGATACAGACCAGGTGACTGAATGGCACTTCTAGCAGCAATCTAAATTCTGGCATTGCCTTTGGAGTGTTTGACTGGCAACTTCAATGTTCTTATTTTTGTTGTTTCATTTCCATTTTCAGAATAAGGGATGAGCAGCACGCACCACGTTATGCTCTTAGGCTACTTGCGCTGCCCCTTCTTCCACTTCTGCTAGGAGCTGTTAACAGAAAAGCTTCTGGCTTTCTTTTATTTTCCTGGCATATTTTCAAGCACCTATTATTAATTTAGGTCCCCAATATGATTTAATTTAAGAAACAGGAAAATATCTTTTGTAAGATGCCCCAGTACTGTCATGATAGATGTCTTAGGAAAAAAATGATAATAATGAGATTATTAAGAAACAAATACTACTGTTATTTCAAAGCCCAAAGAAATTATGTTATGGTCTTTAGCTTTTCTTGTTATCACCATTAAGGATTTTTTTCATCTAAACTTGATGGTGTTGCATAAATGAAGAAGCAAAAACAGCCTTAACATTTCTGTGAAGATTTATTGATTGGGGAAAAGGAAAGTTCTTAAAAAAAAAAAAAAAAAAAAGAAGAAAAAAAATTTAAATTGGTTATTGAATTCTAAGCTATGCTGAAATTATCATTTTGGAGACAAAGAATAGGGAGGTAAAGGGAAGAAGAGATTCTGTTTATTACAAACATATTTTTTTCATTTTTTGAATTTAAACTCAGCCCTACTAAACCGCTGTTTTGGTTTATATTTAGAATGTACCTGGATTACTTAAGCTTTTTATTGGAATTATTTTCTGACTGAACATGATCTGTTGATTTGAAGACCCAGCCAAGTTCATACAACAAATCCCATATGATTTACTTGGCTAGTCTTAAAAATAATCACAGACTCTGTTTACATATGTCCTTAATATTGTAATTTAGGACTACTTAATTAGTTGATTTTATGAATATTAATTTAACTAAAACAGTTCATTTGCTGATATTGTTAGTGAGACATAGAATATTAATTTGCTGGAAGAATAATGGGCTTCTTATAAGCATTATCTAGAGTATTTAATAAAACGCTTTTAGTTTTGCCATAGTACCGTTCATTACATTATTCTTGCATATACTCATAAATTAGTGCTATTTACATATTTTCTCCTTTTCCTATATTTCTGTGTTAATGTAGAATCAGTATTATTTTTCAGAAGAAAAATAGTTGCTGACTTAATGCCAAAGAACAGAACGATAGAAAAGCAGGTGTCAGAGTACAGAATTTGCTTGTTTATTCTGTCATACTTAATACTCTCTAT